TCAAGATGGCTGCAAGGTGGCCTCTCCGCACCCAGTTCAGCAAGCGTAGGCCCAGATTGGTGTTAATGCGCAGCTTTTTCAGAGCAGGCGCGGCGCGAAGAGCGTCGGCCGTGGAAGTGGTCATGCAAAAATTATTGCTGAGGATGACAGTGGTCTGAAGTATATGATGCACACGTCAGCTGTTGTGGACGATCCTCCTGTGGTTGTACTTACCAGTGTCTCCCATTGTGTCGCAATAGCCGACTGCAAGTATCTCTTTGCTTCCCTCATGGCTTTCGTGGACCTAAACTCTGATGTCCTGTAGTATATGTAAAGCTTCCTGGGATGGACCAATGAGAGCGCCTTGTGTAGGCCTCGGATAGCCTCTGAAGCTGGGACATGAAGCGAGATGTACAAAGTATGGACATTGGGCGCGTGTGCAAGGACGACAGGCAAGTGCTTCCCGAGCCCGCCTTCAAGTCTGAGGTACTTGATCTCCTCCCCCAAGTGCGTGTCGAAAGAAATGATATGTGCAACTGCCTTCGTGTGCTTCTGCTCGCGGAGCACTACGCCTTCGTAGAGCAGCGGCGAGCCTATCCTGAGCCAGCGTCGGGAGATCAGCAGCAGGTGGCTGACCGGAGCGTGTCCTGCCGAAGTCGACAGTGAGACCCATCCCCTGCCTTGCCCTAGAGTGTTGTCTCGAAATTTGCAAAACTCTCGCTCCGAGACGGAGAGCACGAGCCTAAGGACGTGTTCCAAGATCTCTTCAGGCAGCTGAGCCTCGCTCATTTGCGACCTATTAACATCGTTTTTGCACGTAAGTTGGCCATTTCATTAGTGCCCCGGGCCACTCACTGTTCCGGAGATGCTGAGCGTGTAGCTAGGTGCTTGCCGTTCGCGAGGTGACTCCGCGTCAACGGGCATCAGCGCTTTGTCTCCGCAGTGATGCGCCATCGGCAATTCATGATGCGCCTCGCGCCTCGCGCACACAGCCACGCCAATCACAGGAAGACCATCGGAAGCGTATTTGTAACGTGCATCAGACGAGTCAGTGTCCAGCGTTAATAGGTATATAATGGCTGACCCGAGCTAAGCAGGTCAATTTTCACCAGCCATCTCTTTGCACAACAAGACGCACGACGGCCTACCATGGCAGAGGCCAAACTTCCTGAAGAGATCATCCGTGAGATCCTCACATTGATTCTCCCACCTTTCTGCGCGAAGACTTTCTTGAAGTTCCCGTTGGAAAGCCGCCGTCCCTGCTGGGCACAAGAGCGGCCGGGTGCGCTCGAGGAAGGGGGAACCAACGTGCTCCTCATCTCCAAGCGTTGGCTGCGCATCGCCACGCCATTGCTCTATCAGGGCGTCGCGCTCCGCAAGTCGCGGCACACATCCGCCGTTGCACGCCTCGTCAAGGCAGACCCCGCGGTCGGGCGCGCCATCCGCTACCTACGCCTCGAGGGTGGTAGCATGACGCGCGAGCTCAGCACGCTCGTGAAGCACGCGCCGAACATCCACACGGTGTACGTGTCCGAACAGATGCGCACGGGGGAGAGCCTCGATGGGCTCCAGCGCGCTATGTCCTTGCTGCGTCCTACAACGCTGTACATCCATCTCCTCGCCCAGACGTTGCATAATTGGCGCGCAGTACGTGAGGATGAGATAGCGCTAAAGGCTGTAGTAGAAGTGTGGCCGTCTATCGTGAGTCCTCGTTGCACTGTTTCCTCGCGAGACCGCTCATCATGAGTGAAATGTACCCGGAAGGCCGAGGTCCATTTCTCAGACAGTCGAGTTATTGAGTTTTCATGGTCCAATGTCCTGCGCAAGACACCCTCTTTACGAGAGCTGCATACGCCGACGGCTTCTTTCGCGCATAATGATACTTGGTGCCATCGCACCCGGTATTGGCACACCGACGGACAGAAGACACCGCTGGAGTGGATCGCGGACAATCCAACCTTCGAGAAATTTGTCTTCCATGGGGAAGAGCACAGAGATTCCATACAAGCGATCCTGAAACAAGCACATCTCAGTGCTGTTGCCAAATTGGTGACGTATGTGGACGACAAAGACTAGCTCAGTGGGAATGCTCAGGACTGTCGAGAGGTACATTGTACAGTGCTACAGAGATCTGGCGTGTTTGTTACGTGTGCGCTAGCGATTGACATTACTTTGAAAATGCAGACTGCACAATGGGCAACTTGAATGTGTTTCGAATGTCCGCAACCAGCGGCCCCGGTCGCTCGTAGGCCGCAAAATGCCCGCCGCTCTCGTGCCTTGCAGAGTACACGACATTGCCGAGGGTACGGTGCCACCTGCGTTTATAGTCAGCGAGTAGCTCTCGCGTCCGGAGGACATGCACTCACAGACTGGGCGGCACAACGATCTCCTGCGGGAAAATACTGATTCCCAAGGGTACCGCGCCGTTGTAAAGCTGCGGATTACCCGGCTTGTCAAGTCGCATGTCGCCCGACTGGATAACTTCGTAGTATATTCTCACAGAAGTTGCAGCAGATGACGTTGACTGAGTGTGAGAAAAGAGGTATATATGAATCCACGTTAAGACTGAACGGCTTGGTAATTAGTGTTTGTCGTTAAGGAAGGGCGTGCCGGACAGACCTTCTTCCTCGGTCCACGGGTAGTCATCTGTCCATGTCACGAGCTTCTCGTAGATCCACGCGAGAAGGCCGACAGGTGAGTCTGCCAGGGAATACGAGAGTGTCTGGGGCATAGTGGACTGGATCCCGATGTAACCCTGGCCTGGTTCTGGACGTTAGTCCAAACTCAATCGGTCAGAAACAATACGTAACTGACCCTGTTGACCAAACCACGCTGTGCGCTGCAGGCCTTTCTTCTCTGCTTCAGTGTAGGGTGTCGTCATGTGAGTAAGATAGAGACGTGGGAAAGCTTTGAACGTCGGAGGACCGGCACTGGTACCAAGATTAGTGAGGGGTATGTGGAGCATTTGTTACATACACTGGGGAGTTCGTGTGCCATGCTTTGGCATGCTTGGGTCCGTACAGATGAACAATTTTCTGGCTAATCTATGACAGGACAAAAGACGTTAAGGTCACAGAGAAACGCTCTATAGGAGGGGTGCCTACGAGAAAGCCCCAGTCTCCGCCCTGAATGACTGCACAGAAGTTAGCCTACAAAGGATTCTGCTGATGAAGATATTGCGCACCATACTTGTCATATCCAAGCATGATCATCAAATTGTGGCAGAACTGTGTGCGAATCATACTGAACATCCAACGAGTTGACAGCGAGGTGACTCGCACCTCGGCATACTGAACGAGCGCGAATCCACCCTTCTCTGGGGCACTCGTATAGCCAAAGCCGGGAAGGCTTGGAGCGACAACGTCAAAAGCAACATCATTTTCGTTCTCCGGATTAGTGAGCATGGGCAGGACTTTTCGCACTTCGCAAAAGTGGCCCGGCCATCCATGGATAAACAATAAGGGTATGCCCTTCCTGCCTTCTACCTCGTTCGCGCGTTTGTGTACAAAGTGCGCCTGGAACATCCCGTGGTCGCGCACCGTGATAGGAAGTGTGAATTGCGGAAGGTCATCATTCAAAGCTGCTTCTGCCTTCCGCCAGTCGTAGCTCGTCTTCCAGAACTCAACGATGCGAGCTATATCTGCACTGGGCACGCCATATTTCCACGGGTTGTCGCTCGACGGCGCGGGCGGCGGCAGTGTTGCGGTCTCGAGACGCTGCTTGACGGCATCGAGCGCATCTCGCGGGACGGAGATCCTGAACGGTACAGGGGATGGCATCGTGGTCAGGAGCAGAGCAATGCTATGGAGTCATTGCACAAGCCAACCAATTTATACGAGCTCTCGCGTCCAATGGCCTTGCATCTTGCTCGGTCGCCGGAGTGGAACTTCGCTTTGGCGTCTCAGTCTGAAATTTCGAGGTCACGTGCTCTGTGACAGTCTGAGAGCTAGTGGCGTCGGGGCTTTGTGTCTCGACCGTCCTGAGGTTCGAATCGCTCAGCTGATATTCTGACCCGCGACATGACTCGAGTACAGTACTTGCAGACTTACGGACTTGAGCTCAGTACGAACTGCTGAACTAGCTTGCGACCAGACCTACTACGCGCTCGTTACGCTCGGTATTTCCCTCTAGTGCTTAGTTCCAACGTTTGTCACCAGAAGCATCCACTACTTGGCTAATGAGCGAGTGTTGCAAGCCACGCTGTACCCGTACGCTCACCCGAATTGGTGCATACACTCTCGACACCGTCCGGCACGATCGTGAAAATACGGCAACTTTTCTCCTTGCAAGTACAAGCACATTTACAAACACCATCTTTATAGCAAGAATTATTTGTACGTGTCCGCACAACAGCCACTGCAGATACATTCACACGTCATCGTATGGCAGAGATCTGCAGTCACTTCCGCGTGCACGGTACTCACCTTTGGCGCTTGAGCACGCGCACTCAGCATTCATGTCAAACGATCTCACAGTTGTCATTCATGGAAGGATAAGGACCATTCCAAACTCACGACCCATCGTGATAGCACTGGCCACCTCACACGGGAAGTGCGCCCCTCCCTCTAGACTACCACCGCAGAAGTGGTTTCGTCATGAATAGTGAAGCATTTGTGGATGTGAGTGAGCAATTTAAGCAATTTGCTGACGTCGTTGACGAGTTATTGTGCAGGGAGAGGAATCCACAGGCACCTCCGTGGCTTGGACATGCACCAAATGTGAATCCGTCTTTCTGCAAAAAAACATTGCGCGATTGCATCTCCGTGTCAGACACGCCATCGAGCTATCTACTAGCCATGCCAAGGTGTGTCTTGACTCCACTTGGACGTAATCTGTTACTGATTCGCGTTCTGTTAGACGATTGAGCATGTTATCAAGCCTTCTCCCCGCGCTGCAACACACGACGTGTACGAGGTATATCGAATGTTTGCTGTACGCCGTTTAGATCGCTCATAAACAAGTTGCGGAAGCACGTCGCCGGCATGATAGCAGGTAGGGCATGTGCTCTAGGAAATTCGCAAGGGAATATCGCTGAGAAGAGGTACATTGATCGTTTTTGGCTCGAGCGTGTGCTTATATCTGCCACTGCTTCACAGCTATCAAGTCCTAGAAACACTCATCAACGATAAAAACAATCCATCTCTGTTGCCTGTCGTCAATTATGCTGTCCATGCTGCACGGCATCGCCGTTCGGTGCTACATGTGGGTGAGTTTTACTTTCCAACGGGTTAACAGACTAATTAGCCCCCATAGCTCGTCTCTGCACTAGGTGGTGCAGACCCGGATCTCATGGCCGCACTAACGCGCGATGAGGAGCAAATTATGAGGCTACTCAGCAATATGTCAGACGCAGACAGGTGCGACATTGTGTGCCTCCGCGGCCCTCATGCAGCCGACCTGCTGAACCTTCTCGATCTGGTACGTCTCTCTCACGCTATCTATGCGTTAATCACCGAATAGCACGGGACCTTAGATTTTACATCCTACATCGCCAGCTGCTCCCGATGTTTTTCCATTCAAAGGGAGTCTGTCGGGACATGGTGCAAAATTAGAACACTCACTGCAGCGTGCGTTCGTGCGGCTGTGTGAATCATCTCTCCAGCTTCCGCACAGGCTACAGCTATCTCGGGTGCGCTTGATGGACCGTCAGCCTGTGGACGGCGGGTCATACGGAGAAATCTATAAGGGCGAGTATAGTGGAAAAATCGTGGCCTTGAAATCACTCCGTATCTTTCGCTATCGTGAAGACGACGCCAAAAATTCGAAGGTAATGTAGGTCTTTTATGGCTGATACGGTAGATTATTGACAAATGTCTCCTTCAGGCGTTCTACAGGGAGATTGCGCTCGTCCGTGGCATAAGCCACAGACATGTCTGTCAGATTATAGGCGTCGATCGAGAGTCCTTCGCGGGCCTTACCTGTGTGGTACTTCCCTGGATGAGTTACGGCAACGTCCTACAGTATATAGCGAAAGTCGGTTGGTTTGCTCAGGACGCCATTCGATTGGTCGGTCCCTGTCTAGAATTCGTAGCCGAATGTTGCTAACAGTTTCGATAGATATATCAAGTGGCATCGGGACTGGGATACCTACACGGGAAGAGCCTTGTTCATGGAGACCTACATGTCGTACGTTTGATTAGTGAGAGTGCCTGCTGACCTTGACTGATGAATGTCTCGCTCAGGGAAATATCCTCGTAGATGCAGCCAGAGATATTCGCTTAGCCGATTTTGGGCTCGCCAATTTCTCAGACTCTTCAGTAAGCTGCAGCTCAGCCCAGCCCGGTGCAACGCGTTGTATGGCCCCCGAGATTTTTGATCCAGCCCGCTTTAAACTCTCACGCGCCCAGCACACGCCTGCTAGCGACATGTATTCTTTCGGTCAGGTATCATGGCAGGTAGGCCTGGAGTACCGGACCAGTCGACTCGCTGTTCCCTTCTGACAAACTCTGTTGCTAGATATATACCGGGAAAATGCCCTTTCCCGATATGAACAACAATTATCAGGCCATGTTAGCTATCCTTGATGGCAAGAGCCAGCAACGTTCGCTGTCTGACAGGGATATCCCCAACACTCTGTGGGACGTTATGCAAGCGTGCTGGCGCTTTGAGCCGCCTCGGCGTGTTGATGCCCGTACAGCGCACCACCAACTCGAGGCTGTCGATCTCCCCAGTCATATTGATCTATCCGTCGTCGACACTACTCCACCTGCTACCAGCGAATCTCCGTCATCTACCTCGGCGGCAACTATCAAGGCATCCGGTCTTCGGGATCTGTTTAGCCATGGCTCTTCACGAACTTTGTCCGGATCTTCCACTCAGGAAGGTACCAAGAATGCTGCTGGCGCACTTGATGTAGGGCAAGAACTGGATGCTGTCATCACGAGAGCGGGTAATATGAGGCTTGAGCTTGAGAGCCAGCCACCCTCCGTCTCGGAAGCCTCCGCGCGCTCGGCCGAGATTTGGTTGCAGGACCTTTGCACATTATGCCAGAAATCTAAAGACTTTTATCCCGATGTCATGTGGAAAGTTTATGACGAAGACGAACTCGACCATGGTTCCACGAGGGACGTCTGGGGACATTCAGGTACACATTATTCCCTCATTCGCCCAATTAATCTGCGTACTCAATATTATCATTTCGCAGCAATCATATGCATCCGTGCACCGTCGTCTATGCAGAAAAGATATCTTCCGTCGGGTCCCCCGGAAATATCAGATGCTGGCCCCGTACGAATCAATCTCCCGGAGCCCCTGCTTTCAGGCGAGCTGGAGCTTCTATATACTGGGCGCGGACTTGGGGAAGCGTTAGACTATCTTTTTTACAAGGGAAGAGATGGCAACACCGACATAGAGGGAAACTTGACAGACAAACTACGCAAAGACTTCCTCTCCTTGTGGCGCTCACATCTTCACTCAGATATTCGTATCGTTATCATTGTTGCGAGCGACGCAGCTTCGGGCCAAGAACCTCAGGCAGCTATTTTCCGGTCACATCGCTTCATCCTCGCGTCTCGATCGTCCTACTTCCGCCAGCAGCTCCGACAAGTTGAGCGAGTATCCGGCGAGCTCACACTCACCCTCCCATCCCCACCATTCACACTGCTCTCTCTATATCTCACCCTTGGATGGATTTACGCCGGCACGCTGGCCTTTTCCGATCAGCATTGGAATCTTGCTACTGCGTTCGAGATCATGCGGTGCGCGACGTACCTATGTCTCGACGCTCTGTACGACGAGATTCAAGCGCGCATCGTAATGGACATGATGCACGGGCTCTTCCATCCTTTCCTGCTCTTTAGCGAATACGAGAGCATCACTGGCGGCGCATGGGGCGCAGTCGGATGTAAGTGCCGCCAATGCACGCGGCGCGCACCTCGTGTACTCGAGTTCGCCCTAGAGGACGAAGTGAAAAACGCGTATCTCGAACGTGGCGCACGCCGTGCTCTCATCGCATATTTCGGCGAGGGATGGTGCACTCCGGAATTCGCACACCTGTTACCGAAGACTCGCCTGTCCATCCTCAAGGAACTCACAAAGTGCATCATACCACTCAACATCTTCCCACTGCTGTACGCCTCACAGGCCGGCATGAAGAAGCTGGAGGGGGTCGGAGAACTTTGGGCAGCCGTTTCGCGGGAGATGTTGGTCGCCGCTGTCGGCAAGATTGATAAAGTTCTGTGCGACCAGTCCGCCGAATGTTTCCGGCAGAAGGAATGGCTGGACATCGTGGACACTGCAAACGACGGCAATGCAGAACGCGACGAAAAGCTGAAGTGGATCACCAATGCCGTACAGCGCGGGATTAATGATTCGAATGCTGCAAAACTCTACCAGGTATGTGACGAAAGATTCCCACTGAGCCCTACGGCTCAACGACTGTCAGGTGCTAAAACAGTCAATACTATCCCACCCTCATGCAAGCTCGTTCGTCCGAACGCACGTTGAACAAACCTATGAGGGCATATTGCGCCGATCACGAACTCGTTGGTTCCTGTCATATGCTATCTGATATACGACTTACAGAAAGCTTACAGGGTGCGACACTAGTAAAAACGACGAAGAATTTCTCAGCCTTCCAGCAATTCATTTGCAGCCATGAACGATTCAGCACGCTCAACCCGAAGACATAGCCTGAACATACGACGAAGGAGGCGTGCTGTCGCTTGTGGAAGTTTTGAAGTATGATGTATAGTGAACTTTGTGTTTAATTACGTAGTGCAATTCGATACGGCCTTCAGTCATGAGTATAGTCACGTTCCTAGAGAAAAGTTCTTTGCACCACCGGGCCTGTTTCTAACGTTAACCATTAATGTCACAATTGCTGTGTATCTCGGGCTCTATTGACGGCAATGTGTAAGTGAATGGCCCGGGACATGTAAACCAGGCGGCTGATGTGTACACGCTGCCCAGCTCGGGATAAATTACTCGAACGCTCATTCTCAGGTGCGCGATGAAAGTAGCTCTATGACTCAGCATCTATTAGGTCCTAGTACTTCTAAAACAGTCCGTGTTACGAATGCACAAGCGCGTGAGACAGTCACCAGTCGAATATAATACCCTGGAAGAGCTAGACAAGGCAAACAAGCTCCGTGGGCTGCTTTCACAAAACATAACTTCGAACGAATCCAACAGGTGGGAGCAACGCTCATAATGCGACTGGTAAACCTATCGAACCTTCCGAGCGACACACAAGTAGATGACACAAAACCCTGAGACCTGTAAAAAAGCAAGAGCAGCGTCCAGACCGAAGAGTTTATCGCCGACGGCGCGAACCAGACGCATGGGCCGGACCTTGCCAGTAAGATGGTACGCGCACATTATAGGCGGTGCTACTAATGGGCATCGAGGTGCTTGCGAGCACCTCCTGGGCCGCAGCTTCCAGCAAGTCCGGAATATATCTGGCAGATACTCAAGCATAAGATCCCGGCGAGTTGAAGCCTGGCTCAGATCACGTACCTTCCGCTCTCATCCTGCTCTCCTGGCCGTGCTTCGAAGGCGAACAGCGGGAGGTCCGGGGGGAGAGACGGGGTCGAGGCGAGACATGCGAAGATATCCTCCTTCTCGGCCAAGCCGCGACACCGGATGAATTGTAGGTTCGGGCTGCGAAAGATGGTCGCGAGAGGAAGCGACGCGTCGACGTCCGCAGAGAACCATTTCCTCGCGTCCGACGTCGAGATGTGAAGCTCCTCGAGTCGGTCGGCCTTCCGGAGGCAGGTAGCCATTGAGGGCGACATGGGGAACGAGTCACAGAGATACACGTGTTTCTGGAAACGTGCAGTGGAAGATCAGTGGGAGTAGACGAATGGTTGCAAGCGGCCGGGCTCACCAGGTTGGCCCAGCGGCTCGAGATACACGTCTCCATCATGGCTCGAAGCTCGAGGACAGTCTGATTGTTGCGGCTGAGCCCGGACAGTGCGACTTGGTGCGCGTAGAAGTTCGTCGGATCCATCGTCGTCAGAGATTTGCGCATCCCGGCAATCGTATCACTTGACGCAAGCTCCAGGTTTAAGTACAGGTGCTTGATGTTGGGCGAAACCGCGACAATGTACGAGAAATCCCGGCCGTATCCGCCCTCGAGCCTCAATGTGTCGATCTTCTTGCTAAGTCCGGGACAATCCTGGAGAACGACCGCGACAGCCTTCGTGTGCGCGTTCTTCCGGAGTATGACAGAGGTGTAGAGCAGCGGCTTCGCGATCTTGAGCCAGCGCTTTGAAACAAGCAGGTAGTTCAGGCGTTTTTTGGTCTGATAGGCTTGTGCATTGCCGCGGGCTTCAGTTGGGAACTGCAAGAAGACCTCAGGAGGGATGAATAAACAGTAGGACAAGATTCTGTTCAAGATTTCGTCAGAGAGCAGAGTCTCGTGCATGTCCGTCCTGATTCCAGACTGGTGGGTGTATGAAGCAACGATGCCATCTAGGAGTTGGGCGTAAGCTTATGTGGTGGCTGGCCAATGTCTAGACAGAGTCAGCCTCGATGCTGTTTCGGGTGAGAGCACTGAAAACCAGGTGGAAAAAAGTTTTGTCTTCCGGACGAGGGCGATGCAACTTGCTTAGGACTCTCCCATACGCTGCCACCTGCGACAAAGACGCAAAAAAGGCAAGAGTTCTGCCAAGTATGCTGGCTAAGTGCATGTCGGCGAATAACGGAGAACGGCGGAGATGCAGGACGCGTTTTGGCGTCTACTGGTAGCGGCTGGCGATGACATCAGTAGTTTACGTCAGCACTTATTGCATCAGTTCGGGCGCTAAATATTAAATATCAAATGTTCGCATTCACGCTCATCGGAACGTTCTTCCACTCTTATGTTAATTTCCTCAGACAACCGCCGCGACATGAAGTCGAGAATCGATCATTTGCGCATGATAATCAATTCAAACGTGTGCACGAAGGTCTACCTGTGTAGTATAAATGGAAGTCCCCGGCAGATGTGTTGCAAGGTGAACCGTATCCCCCCATCGACACCAATACGACGCCAGATGAACTCATGCAAAATTAACTATACAGGCTCGTAAGCTTTTGATATCCACACCTGTCCACGCGTCGACGGAATAATTGGCAACGC